AGGTGGCAGCTAACAACTGTCCGTAACTCCAGTCCCAGGGGATCCAACAGCCTCTTCTGTCTTCCTTGGGCTCTGCACGACACAGGTGCACTTAATACACTCATACACATAAAATAAAAATAATAAATAAAATATAAAAAAATTCAATTACGTGTCTATATAGAAAGTATTCTACCAGTTTGGTATGATTTTTTTTTTACAAAATATAAGTTTAAAAGTGTTTATTTTTTGGCTGTGTTTGGAAATCAGAGGATGACTGATAGAAGTCAGTCCTCTCCTTCTGTCCTGTGGGTCTCAGGGATTGAGCTCAGGTTGTTAGGCATGGCAGCCAGTGCCTTTACCCGCTGAGCCCTCTCATTCACCCTAGAAGAGAAGTTTTGATTCTTACTTTTTTTTGGTCTTTTTGAGACAGGGTCTCCCTGTAGCCCCAGCTGTTCTGGAACTCACTGTGTAGACCAGGCTGGCCTTGAACTCACAGAGATCCACCTGCCTCCGCCTCCTGAGTGCTGGGATTAAAGGCATGTACCACCATGCCAGGCCCGATTCTTACATTATTTATCATTCACCTTTTCTGTTTCTTTTTCTTTTCTTCGTTTCTATGTCCTTTTCCACAGGTCTTTTTGTCTTTACCATTCTCAGTCAAGGCTTTCCAGAACTGTGGAAACATGCAGCTATCTTTTCTTCAAATATTTTTAGCATCTGAAAATTTGAACTTAAATCTTTCATCTGCAATTCATTTTGATATAATATATGGAAGAAAGTCTCGTTCTTTCTCTAGTAATCAGATGGGCTTCGTTGCACTGTTTGCCCAGTCCTTCCTTTGTTACACAGTAGATTCCCGTGCATGCTTGCTGTTTCTGGATCATCTATTTTGCCCCTTGCCTGTGTTTTGGGATGAGTCCATGCAGTTTTAATTAGTGTTCTATACAAGTGTTCTGTTCTTTTTCTCCTTTCTTAAAAACACACACTTTTCTTTTCAGATGTATTAAAGGAAATTGTTGGTGTTGACATATATCTGAATTTATTATCACACCCTACTTAGCAGTCTTATTTGAGAATGTAGGATTGGGGTAAGACAGTATTTTTCCAGTAATGGTTATGTTTTTTTTTTCTCCATAGCCTCTCTTAGAGTCTGTGCCTTATGAAGAAGCACTGGCTAACCGCCGGGTTCTTCTTAGCTCTACTGAAAGTCGAGAAGGCCTTGCACAGCAGGTATGGCACTAGGAACATCATGGAAACTGGAAAAAGCAGAAATGTTCAATCCACTTGGTTTTTAAGGTGTACAGAGTGATGAGTAACGTAGAGGACTACAGAAGTAACAGTGGAAGTAACAGTTACAGAAGTAACTGTGGAAGTAACTGTTCCACATAGTGGAACAGTTCCCATAGGTTTGGTTCACTGATACTCTCAGACATCTTGACTTAACTGGCATTACAGTCGGTGCAGAGTAATGTCAACATATTTTGGCTCCATGATTAATCTTTAGACGCTAAATTTAAATGTCAGAAGTACTAAGGCAGCAAAAGGAGGAAAGGTAGAGACTCTTCAAGTTATTTCTTATATGAGCAGAAGTGGAAAATTTCCACTAGCTAGTTGGTCATTTGAATTGAGGGTAATAGATTGGGGTGGGAGGTATTGTTTCTTTCAGAATTTGGTACAAACTGACAACAATTTAGGTTTTAGCAGACTTTTAACATCTGGCTTATTTTTTGTTTGGGGAATACTACTTTTAAAAAGGACTCAGATGGGGTAGGGGTGTAGAAAAGTTGTAGAGCCCTTGCCCAACATGTCCAAAGCCCTGAGTTCAACCAGGGGAGGGTGGGATAGGGAAGAAGAAGTGGGAAAGTGGGGAAGTGGGGGAGAGGAGACAGAGGTTCATTTGAGGTGATCGTGTCAGTGCTGAGTCAGTTCCCTGGGGACTAGCACTTGCTGTGGTAGCTGCTTTTCCCATCACCAGCAGTAACTGGCAGGGGCAGCTGGAGGGAAGAAGGGTTTACCTTGGGCTCATAGTTTCAGTCCATTATAGGAAAGACATGGCAAGCTTGTGGCAGTGGGAGTGTGGTGCTGCTGCTTCTTACATCTTGGTGGACAAGAAATCAAGGGCTAGTTCCAAACCAGCTCTGGACTAGAATCTTAAAAGCCATGGCCTTCCAAAACAGCGACACGAGCTGGAGATCATGCACTCAAACACAAGCTTGGGGGACATTTCACACTCAGACCACAGTGCTTATCCTTCAGTATTAATGCTTTGGGATGTTGGGGCAAAGTTTAATCTGTACTTTGTGAGAAACAAAATTCCTCAGACACAATAAAATATAGAATACCTTAAAAATTAATTTTAGATTTTGTTTGGTTTTGGAGACAGGGTCTTATTTTGTGATGGGCTGGCTTGGAACTCATCCTAAAGCCAGAGCTGGCCTAATTTGCTGTGACATCCTGCCTCAGCCACCTAAATGCTGGAATTACAGTGTGAAATAATATGCCTAGCTAGTTTGTTGTTGTTGTTTGTTTTGTTTAATACAAGGAAAATAAAAGTCAAATAAGGAATTTTACCCACAGTAACTAGTGAATAGCCACTGCCTGGCCTCTGAGCAAAAGCATTTCTCCTTTGAGCAGCTGGAAGCAGGTCTTGCAGTCTGGTTGCTTCCTGCCTTCCCTGGAGGAAGGATATGATCTGCCTTTCAGGTGTTGTAAGGATGCGTTGAGCCAGTGGGAGGCAGTGTGTGACAGCAAAAAGAAGCAGACTTGTGAGCCAGGCCGATGGAGGCCTACAAGCTGGCTTTGGGTTGCTCGCTGAGCAGCTTCCTGGTTACTGGAGCCTTTGTTACCCTCTGAGAATGAGAATTGTAGGACTGTTGGAGGCTTCAGGGGGATCATAGGAGGAAAATAGCACCAACCCTGCCTGTTATGTGGTAAATTCTCAAGTGGGGTAGTTGGTAAAGGATTCAAATTCATCAAAAGATCACTGCTGTTTTTAATGTAACTGTCAAACCTCTATTGTCCTGAAAATTACTTTTTAAATATTTATTTTTATTATTTTTATTTATGTGTATATGTATGTGTATGTCTGTGAATATATACCACATGTATGTGGGTACTTGCAGAAGCCGGAAGAGGGAATCAGATCCTCCCTGCAGTTGTGAGCTGTCCAATGTGAGGCCTCGGGAAGAGCAGCCATCTCTTCAGCCCCAACAGTTTCTTTAAAAAACTTCTTATTAAAGAATAACACACAGAAAAGTATAGAAATCACTAAGGCATGTCACAGTTTTTCAGAAGTGAACATACTAATGTAACCAGGACCTAATTTAAAATTTTTTATTTTATTCATTTTTATTTTATGTGTCTGAGTGTTTTGCCTGCACCTATGTAAGTGCACATACCCTCCATGCCCATGGAGGCCAGAAGAGGGTGTCTGATCTCTTGGAACCGGAGTTATGGATGGTTGTTAGCCACCATGTGGGTGCTGGGAACCAAACCTGGGTCTTCTGCAAGAACAGTCAGTACTTTTAACTGCTGAGCCATCTCTCTAGCCCCAAGACCTAAATTTTTAAGGGGTGTGAGTGGGTGGGAGTGAGGGATAATTGTCTGTGTAATCTGTACCTTAGGAAAAGTTGTCAGGGCTCCAGAAGGTATTGTAGGCCCCTTTGTAGTTACTGCTGTCTGATCCCCAAAGATAACCTTATCCTGTATTCTAACACCATAGGTTAGCTTGTTTCTTTTTTTAAAAAATTCATTTTAAAAATTAATTTTTTATAGATTGGTTTTGTTGCCTGATGTGGAGCTTTCAATAAATGAGATAATGGCGTATAGACTGTGTGTGTGCTCCTTCAGGTCTGACTTTCAGCCCTCTATGAATGAAAGCTCATATTGTTCCAGAAACACCCACCTTTGTATTTTTGTCTTCTGAACTTAGTAAAATGAGTGATTTAAATTATGTTCCTTTAATAATGAGTGATTTTGAACACCTTTTTGTGTCTGTAGTCTTGTTCCAGCGCCTGTCTAATCTTTGTATTTCTCTTTTTGCCTGTTTTCTACTTTGGTATCTTTTTCTTACTGAATTGCTGTAATTCTTTATATGATTTGACTATTCTAGAAAAACATGTCTATCTGATTAAAAAAAATCAGTTGTTCTAGGGATTACATTTCTGTTGGATACTTTTCATTTTTTCCACCTTTAATTTCTTTTCACTCTGTGTGTGTGCATGAATGTGCACTTATGTGTGCACGTGCACGGAGGCCAGTGGGCAGTCTTGAGTGGCATTTTTCAGGCACTGCCCCAGAGATCCACCTGTCTTCACCTCCCCAGAGCTGGTATTACAACTGTGTACTACTGTTCCCAGGTTTGTTTGTTTTTTTTAAACATGAGCTCTGGGGATCAAAATCAGGTCTCTACACTTTACTGAGTATTTCTCAGCCTCGTGAAGTCCTTTGATGAATAGAGGTTTTAAATTTTTACTTAGTTCAGTTCTCAACTTCCGGTTGTATTCTTGCTATTCTGTTTAACAAATACCTCTAGCCCCGGGTCAGGCTTTATTGTTTTTACCTCTGGGAGGCAGTTTTGGTTTACATTTTGTACACTTGCCCCCACCCGCAAACACACACCAAATTTTGTCCCCATAATTCTCTAAGATGGAAAATTTTGTTGCTTTTGAAGGTTCAACAAAGTTTGGAAAAGATTTCTAAACTAGAGCAGGAAAAAGAGCACTGGATGTTGGAAGCACAGTTAGCCAAAATCAAGCTGGAGAAAGAAAACCAGCGAATTGCAGACAAGCTGAAGAGCACTGGTGGCGGACAGCTGGCTGGGCTGGCCCGGGACACTGCTGCCCCGCCCGGCACTCCTAGCCAAGAGGAAGCTGTGGTGAAGGTCCTGGCAGAGCCTGTTCAGAGCACCAGTCTGGTGAGTGTCTTCCTGCTTGCCCTGGCCTGCGGTTTCTTACTTTAAAGCTAGTTGATAAGGATCTGACTTAGTGTTCAATGTTAAATCATTGAACTCTTGTTCCATTCCTGTTCCTGTAACAAAATACCATAAACTTAGGTAGCTTATGAATAGCAGGAATTCATTTCTCATGGGTCTGGGGGCTGGGAAGTCCAAGAGCAAGGTGTCTGCAGAACCCGAGTTTCCTGGTCCCTCCCTGGCTGTCTTTCTGAATTGTGTTCTTTCAGAGGGTGGGGTAAACAAATCCTCAGGATCTCTTTTTCTTTGTAAAAGTCCAGTAGACCATCCCCAAGGATTCCACCTCTTAATTCTGTCACTTTGGGGCGTAGAATTTCAACATGAAAATTTGGAGAAGACAAATACTCAGACCATAAAAGCCCATTCAAATTACGTCAGTTTCCAGGTGCTTCCCCCCAAAAAAGAAGGATGTGTTCAAAAATTAATTGCATTGAATTGCCTGGGATTTCATTAACTTTCTGTATGGTCAGAGTTGTGTTCCTAGAAAATATAACAGTAAGTCACATCTAAGATATTTCTGCTTTTCCATGAAAACAGTTCTAAGATGGGGTTGTGTTTCTTTTTTTAAAATTTATTTTATTATATGTATATGCATGTATTGCCTGCATGTAGGTAAGTGCACCCATGTCATGCAATGCCTGTGGAAGTCAGAAGAGGCTATTGGATCCCCTGGGACTGGAGTTATGGACAGTTGTTACCTGCCATGTGGGTGCTGGGATTCGAACCCAGGTCTTCTGCACGGACAACCAGTGTTCTTAACTGCTGAGCCATCTCTCCAGCCCCCTAATATGGGGTTGTGTTTCTGAGCAAGGATCAAATACCTAAATTTTCATGGAAATAACCATTAATACCACCTTTAACCATTTCTGTACTGTATACCAGGAAGTATAAGGCTCTGTAACAGACATGTAACATAGAAACCCATCAGGCCAGTTCTTTCCTATAAAGGTAGTGTGTTGACACACTAGCTGACAACTTTATGTTTTTTGCCTTCTTCTTAACTGCAGTTATTTGGAAGGTAGAGAAATATCTCTCTTGTCAGGCATTACATAATTCACAGTTATATTTATAAAGTTTTCTAGTTATATATTATTTAAAAAATGGGAAAATCAAGGAAAGGAGAAATCAGAAAGGGAAAGTAACACCCTCAGAATCAAAATTGCCCATTTAAGTGTGTTTTTCTGAGTATTTTTTGATGAGCTGAAGAGAGCAGAGGTGCTTCTGGAAGATGCTAGAAGGTACATCCTTTTCTGCTTACTTACCCTGGCTGTCTGGTGCTGCCACAGGCCAGCTTTTGTTTCTGAGAGGTGTACAGACTTCATTGTGGCCTAGTAGGGTCAGAACCTCAGGTGATTAAGGTGATTAGTGATTTTCTTAGGTGTGGTTATGGTATAGAAGCATTAGGAGAATATTTTCATGTTTTGGAAATAAATATCGTAGTATTTAGGATAAAATTTTATAATATTTGTAGCTCACTTTTTTTTTTCTTTTTTTTTTTTTTGGTCTTTTTGAGACAGGGTCTCCCTGTAGCCCCAGCTGTCCTGGAACTCATTATGTAGACCAGGCTGGTCTTGAACTCACAGCGATCCGTCTGCCTCTGCCTCCCGAGTGCTGGGATTAAAGGGGTGCGCCACCGCGCCCAGCTTGTAGCTCACTTTTGATTTATTTTTATTACCTATTATTTATTGTGTGTATGTATGCTCACTCACAGGTATCATGGCCCATGTGTGGAGGTCAGAAGACAGCTTGTAGGAGCTAGTTCTTTGTTTCTGCCTTGTGGGTCCTGGGAATTGAACTCAGGGCCAGGCTTGGTGGCAGGCCCCTTTACCCACCGAGTCAATCTTGCTGGGCTGTAGCTTAATTTTAGACTGTTCAGAAAAATGTGTACATATAGAACAGTAAAGCAGAGATAGCATGTAATTACCAAATTTAGGTGGCAGATGCACACATGTTCACTGCACTTTTTCCTCTCAACTTTTCTCTGTGTTTAATCAAAATAAAAGAAAACGGGATTGCAGTTTTTCAGGCTGATTATGTAGTGTGCCTTCTGACTGGTAATCTGTTCCAACCATAAATCCTACCTGCTGCCCCTGACAGGTCAGAGTGACTACGTTTCCCCCCACGTCAGTGGTTAATGTGTAGACACTGAACAGAAATGAAATAATGACAGGAACAAACAGCAGAATTTCAACTCTGCTCAGGTATCTTTGATGGTATGACACCCCTACTCACCTTTTAAGTTGTTGAAGGAGGCACCCTTAAATGAACATAAGTGAACTAAATCTGTAGCTTTGTGTGGGTATACATGCCTTGAACTTTATTTTGGATGATAGAAGCCCATTTCAAAATTGATTGATTTACAAAGGAAACCCAGTGTTCAAACCACCAGGTCACTTTAAGGCTGAAAAAGCAATGTCAGATAGAAATATCCTATTTGAAGTGCTGTAGCATTTCAAAATTCAAATGTTAATTATTTTCATTAAAATACCTAGCACTGTAGTTTGAACATGTAGCTGTGGGTTAATTATTTTAAGAAAAGAGCAATAATATCAAGAAAGGAAAAAAAAACACAGAACAATACAAATGTTCTCATTTTGTTTTAATTAAAAAATATTGCTTAAATTAGTGGAAAGATAGAAAGTAGAAATTTTGTATAGTGGAAATAAGTATAAGAGTAAAAAACATTTTTTTTTTTTTTGGTCTTTTTGAGACAGGGTCTCCCTATAGTCCCAGCTGATCTGGAACTCTATGTAGACCAGGCTGGCCTTGAACTCACAGAATTCTGCCTGCCTCTGCCTTCCAAGTGCTGGGATCAAAGGCATGTACCACCATGCTTGGCAATAAAAAGTAGTTTTATATAACGTGTTATAGGTAACCAAAAATAAGACTGAAAAAAGAAAAACAGTGACATACTGACTACTGATCCATTGCCATTGATGTTCTTTCTGCAGAATTTCATGTCTGGTTGATAAAGTTTTAAGCCTTCTAGCATAAGGTTAATACGCATTTATTGCTTTAGCAGAAACTATATAAACTTATCAATTCTGTAATACTCCATATCTAACACATCTGAGTTACTATGGCTGAGCATTGGTTATACTTTCACTGTCTTAAATAACATCTCATCTTCATACACGATTCTCACTGCATTAAATTCTGATTTATTTATTTTTATTTTATGTGTATGAGTATTTTGCCTGCATGTATGTAAGTGCACCCCTGTTGTACAATGCCCACAGAGGCCAGAAGAGGGTGTCAGATCCCTTGGAACTGGTACAGATGATTGTTAGCTGCTATGTAGGTTCTGGGAACTGAACCTGGGTCCTTTGCAAGAGCAGCCAGTGCTCTTAACCACTGAGCCATCTCTTCAGCTCCTCATTTTAGATGATTTCCTTGGAATGTGTTCTTAGGTTAGAGTTGGAATTACTGAATCAAAGCATGACTATGACGGATTCCTTGATCTTCACTGCTAAATTGTGTTCTGAAAGGACTGTATTGGTTTATATCCTTGTTGGAAGAATATGAGAAAATGTTGAAAAAAGAGTACATGTCCAAACATTTCCTTCCATTTCTGTACCGTTCTTTTTCAGGACTCTACCGCACCAGAGTTTCAAACCGTAGCTTAGGAGTGAGGAGTGAGTAGGGAAGAGGAGATGCATCACTGTGATTTCTTTCATCAAATACAAGCATATTCGATTACGTAAAATTAAATTGTTAGTGGGTTAGTGTAAGCAGTTTTATGGTTCAGTCAGTGTAACATCCATTAGTATATACCGTGTAGTCCTTAGAAAAGTACTCTTGAAAGCTGGACATGGTGGCCCATACCTGTGATCCCAGCACTTGGGTGCCTAAGCCAGGAGTACCATGAGTTCAAGCCTATCCAGGGCTATACAGCGAAACCCTGTCCCAAAAAAAGGTAGTGGTTGAAGGTGGGGAATAAATGATACCCTTGAAGATATCTATTCAGATATGTGCAAAGTGCTGAATACCATCTCTTATTTACAGAATCCATTAAATGGAGTTTCCAATAGTTTTCTTAAGTCATCATGCCCACCCTCCACCCTGCTATTAAGCTGAATTCAGTAATCATACCTGTTTTTGAAATTTTTCTTTTCTTTCTTTTATTTTAAGGGGTGTTTGTAGTGGTAGGGATTGAAGCCAAGCAAGCTCTCTACCACTGAGCGCCCCATCCCTGTTTTGAACTCTTAACCCATAAAAGCAAACTTTAAAAAGCCTAGTATACTATAATTTGCTTAAAATTATATGTATATTGCTTTTTGTTAGTTCAAGTCTGGAATTGTTTATTATGTTATTATATACTTTATCCTTTTGTGTTTCTAAATTTTTGTCCCAAGTGCTTATTTGTGGGGTTTTTTTTGTTTTTTTTTTTTTTTCGGTCTTTTAGAGACAGGGTCTCTGTAGTCCCAGCTGGCCTGGAACTCACTATGTAGACCAGGCTGGCATCGATGTCACAGAGATCTGCCTGCCTCTGCCTCCTGAGTGCTGGAGTTAAAGGTGTTTGCCACTATGTTTGGTTTATTTGTGTTTCCTATTCAGAATGTTTAGTTATTGTGGTCACCATAAAACTATTTATGGCTACTGCATCAGAAGTTATCGTCCTTCTGTTCCTCCTGGACAGTTTGTCAGGAGTCAGTGGAAATGGCGAATCAGCACTTTGGTAGCGGCTTTGGCAATGGTCATTTGTTTCAGCCTCATGGAAGAAGTAGTGCAGAACAGCTCGTAGCACAGTTACAGTCCACAGGCGATTGGAACTGCATTACCAGTGCTCTGCAAGCCTGTGGCATGAAGAGAAAGTGTCATAGCATTTCACCTCTTCTGTCTGAAATGTAAACCTTCATTCTAAAAGTATTTTTTCTTTATGTTCTAGATTGGGGTTTTAACCAGGACATCGGACAGTAAGGTAATATGACCTGACATTGTGTTGTTTGCTGATAAATGTCTGGTAGCCGTTTGTGGACAGAGCCCTCCAGGAGCTCTCTTTGTCCAGTTGTTTTTTTCTGGTAATTCTTGCAAGGGGAGCAAGTGTTTTTCCTCTTACCAGTGCATCCACCATTCCCTTTCCCTTCCATGGTGTCATCAGTGGAGAATAGCCTGGTTTGGTAACAGTCTTGTTCAGTGCCTTGTTCTCCCAGTTTACTGGGTCCAGCCCCTGCTAGGCCATCACTCACTGGCATGCTGTGGGAGACTGAGAACCTCACTCATCCCCCAGTGGGCAGCTGGGAGGGCAGAGCCCTCAGGCTTCCAGGACAGTGTGCTTGCTGTGAGTGAGCCGACATGTGGTTTGGCTTGTCACGTGGGCTTTCACAGTTGAAGTATTTGAACATGATAAGTTTACAAGTAGCAAGTGAATGAAAACTGAAGTTATTGAGCCTATCACTCAATGTGGCCATGATAAATAACAGTGCCAGGACGACAGAAAATCCTGTGATTTCCTTATTTGTCTCATAGGTAATATTGAGCTTCATGAATTTTTAACCAAGTTCAATAGTGTAGCACTCCTAGTGTAATCATGAAAAGTGCCAGTTTGGAACAAAGGCCAAACACTGCTTAGTATAGTTTAAGTTATTAGTATATTTGAGAGTATTATAGTTTCCTGAAGATAATTTAAGGGGAAAAAGAATGTTCCAAATTTAGAGGTTCTGAAGGACTGTGAGTCAACATTGCATAGAGATGCTTGCACACTGATGTTTATTGCAGCTCAGTAGCTAAATTATGCAGTCAGCCTAGGTGTCCATCAACAGAGAAATGTGTTAAGAAAATGTGCTGTATTTACTCAGTGGAATTTTATGAAGCCATAAAGAATATTATGTTATTTGCAGAAAAATGGATGGAACTAAAGACTATCATATTAAATAAATTAAGTCAGTCTCAGAAAGACAAATATTGTATGTTTTCTCTCATTGGTGGATCCTAGATTCTATATAGATACATAAAATCATATACATGACTATCTAGGAGAAGGGCAGGTACTAGAGGGAGGAGAGAGAGAGAAAGGGAGGATAGCGGCCTTAAGATCATCAAAGTAAATTATTTACTGAAATGAAACCCAATACTATGTACAATAGCTATATGCTAATAAGAAATCAGAGGTTCCAATAAATCCGCCCCTGCTCCCTGCCCTCTTCCAATTAAAAGGACATAGTCCAGACAGATTGAGATTTTGAAAGTCAGGTTTGTGACTAATAAAAGCTGGGCAGATCTAGATATGGTGACTCACCTAAAATTCTAGCACTTGGGAGGTTGAGGCAGGAGGATTATGAATTTGTGGTCATCTCCAGCTGCATTGCAAGACTTTCAAAATAATAATGATTATGATGAAGATGATGATGAGGAGGAGGAGGAGGAGAAGGAGGAGGAGGAGGAAGAGCAGCTAAATGGAAGGCCATGGCCTGTGGGACTTCTCTTCAGAGGGCCTCTGAAGGTCAGGCTTCTTTCTGAGATGGGCAGAACGCTGAGTGAAAGAAGCCCGGGCTCTCCATTTACCTGCCTTTGAGGGGAAGGCTCTCATTCCCTGTGACATCTCAAGTGAAAATGTGTGAAGTGCTGTCTTGATTTTATTTTCCTAGAATTTCCCCTTCTCACTGGCCATCGTTGGTTTATGTCTTTAGGTTCCAGAATTGGAGTCCCGTGAAGACTTGATTAAAAATCACTACATGGCAAGGATAGTGGAGCTCACGTCTCAGCTGCAGCTGGCTGACAGTAAGTCAGTGCATTTCTACGCCGAGGTGAGTGGAGTTCATTAGATTGGCATTTCTTCCTGAATTGGGTTGCTGTTCTGTTCACTAGATGAGAGTAGTTAGTATGTGTGTTTTTAATGTCTGCTTGTGTCTGTGGATTGGTTGTAGCTCGTAGCAATTAATCTGCATACCATCCCGAAATCTTCATTTCAATGACATTTGTAAGACCGCTGTCATTTCCAAGTTACTGCAAGAGAGCTGACAGTTTTGGAGGCAGCCCATCCTGTGGTCCCAAGCTGTCAGTTTCAGCACTTTTAGTTGGGATTAGTTGCTTTGGGAGCAGAGAGGAAGAACACAAATGAAGGACTGTTTACACAAGCAAGGGGAAAAGTAAAATGCATCTGGTCTTTTTTTACATTTATTTATTGTGTGTGCAAGTGCCACAGCACATTTGTGGAGCTCAGAGAACAGCTTGCCAGCGTCAGTTCCCTCGGTCCACCATTTGGGTTCCAGGGATCAAACTCGGGTTGTCAGGTTTGACAGTAAGCACTTTTACCTACTGAACCATTTTGCTGGCCCATCTTTTTAAGTACTCTCCAATTTCCTTATGTGCATGCACATTTGGAGACCAGAGGTCAACACTGAGGGCTTCCTCTATTGTTCTCCACCATATTAAATTTTTTATTAATTCTTTGAGAATTTAATGCAATGTATTTTGGTCATATTCACCCCCAGTTCCTCTCCTTAACTCCTCCTAGATCTCCCTCTACCTTTCTACCACCCTACCAACTTCATGTCTTCTTTTTAATTTAATAACACATCAATTCCAATTTGTGCTGCCCATATACTTCTGGGTGTGCAGTCATTCACTGAAGAGTGATTGACTACAAGGAGACACTCCCTTAGAGAAAACTGTCCATCCCTGCTCAGTTAGGGATGGGTTCTCATAAAGCCCCTCCTACTCCAAGTTAGAATGTTAATTGACTACAGGTCTTGTGCAGACAACCACAGCTTCTGTGAGTTAAAGTGAGCAGTGGTCTGGTCATATCCAGAAGACACTGTTTCCCTCCAGTATCTCTTATAGTGTTTCCATACCCCCTTCCTCAGTGGTCTCTGAGTCTTGGGGAGGGAGTGTGATTAGATGTCTCATTTATGGCTAAGTACTCCACAGTTGCTTATTGTCTGCACTTTGACCAGTTGTGTTAACCACCATGTACTGCATAAAGAAATTTCTCTGATGAGGTCTGAGAGCTGTACTAATCTACAGGTAGAAAGTTATGAGAGATGGCAATTTGATACTATGTTTATTTAGCAAAATGATAGTAGTAGGTTCACCCCTGGGGCCTGTGAGATCCCCATCTATGGGTTCTTGGCCAGAGTTGTAGTATCAGGTATGTGTTTCTTCCTTTGAAGTGGGCCTTAAATCCAACCAGAAAGTGGTTGGTCACCCCATAGCATTCATACCACTATTGTACCCCTGGGCTTCTCTTTCTACCTACCATTTTGAGACAGGGTCTCTCACTGAACCTGGAGCTTACTGGCTAGCGAGGCTGGCTGACCAGTGAGACCTCAGGATCATCCTGTTTCCACCTCCCCAGCTCTGGGATTATAGGCACATACTACCACGTCTGGCTTTTCACATGGGCATTGGGGATCCAAAATCAGGTCCTCATGCTTGCATAGCAAGCACTTTACCTACTGAGCCATCTCCCTAGCCCAATCTGGTACTCTCCAATTTCTAAATGGCAAGTTGGTAGTTTGTAAAAATGAATTTCTAAAAATGATAGTGAAAATGTCTCTATTTAAACTGGGTAAGAAATATAAAATCTTTTTGTCACTTTTTCTTCTTCCTTTACTCAATAATTCATTTTCTTCATATAATTAATAACTACTGGGGCTGGAGAGATGGCTCAGCAGTTAAGAGCACTGACCGCTCTTGCAGAGGACCCAGGTTTGATTCCCAGCACCCACCCACATGGTGGCTACGAACCATCCTTAACTCCAGTTCCAGGGGAATCCAAAGCCCTCTTCTGACCTCCATGGCATTGCACAACATGGGTGCACTCATATACACCCAGGCAATACACTCATACACATAAAATAAAAATAACAAATAAAATATTTTAAAAAATTAGTAACTCCTAGGCAAAATACATAGAATTTGCAAAGCAGAAGGGGGAAAATAGCATAGTAAGTGTAGCACTAAAGGGTAAAGAAGCAGTGATGGCAGAATGGGCACTGCTCAGCCTGTAAGGTCCTTAAGGCCTTTGATTTGAAGCTGCATATTTAGGGCTGGTTTTAGGTAATAGACAGAGAATTACGATGCCTAAACTTGTTAAGTAAACCAAAAAGGAGGAGGCAGTATTCCTTATTGGGATCTGGTCTTTTCTGTGATTTTTCTCCAACACTGAAGAGATGACACGGCTGTTAGACTAAGTGGAGAATGGATTTTCCTATTGAAATAAATGATGTGCCATTGCATCCACCTTTGATAGTTCACTCAGTTTGCTGCATCGTGACACATGGGAGAACAGTGAGCAGGCTGGGGGAACACTGTACTAGGTTCCTGAGCCATACGTGTATGAGCCATGTGTACATGACACCTGTATGCTCAGTGCTTGGTTCCCTGCTCTATGGTTTAGTGTCCCAGATTTGATTGTCATCTTCCTATCGACTCATGCCTTGCATGTCTGTTTCCTTCTTGGTCAGGGTCAGTGCTGAGCACAGAGGGAGGTGGTTGATTTGTACAGACTGTCCAGAAATTTTCTTGAGAAATAAAATGCATAGCTGGGGAATTTTTAGGCTGTCTTATTTTCAAGAGATTTGCCTATTTTAGTAAATGTTTTCAGCATAATTCTGATATAAGAATTTTTAGATTGTCCTAGTTTTTGGTCCTCTGTAAACAGGAAGTGATGATGCCCCTGTATGATTTTACTGGAATGGGTAGTAGAGGGCTTGATGTCCACACAGCATCCAAATGTGCCTCTTCAGGTTCCTCTTTTTGGTTCCAGTGGCTTTATCACAGAATTTGGTGGTCTGTTTACTCATTCACCCTCTTTAAGCAGTAGTGTGAAATGGAATTTTCCCTTTTTCTTTTTCATCTGCTCTGTCTCTGGATGGTTTGGGTTTAGTAAAACTCTCAGAGAAAACACTCATCTTTCCCCAGATAAGCAGCACAACCTTTTGGGTGGGATTATATTGTTCCTGGTTTGAGGTCTCTAATGAAGAACTTAAAACACATAGAAACTACCTTAGGGTCCGTGGTCAGCAGCCAGTGATCACTTTTGAAATAACCACTTCTCTCTCATCCACCATAAGCATAAATGAATCCTGGGTAAATGGAGAAAGTTCTCCCATCTTCTGTAACCACTGGTCATTAGGTTGGAGCTCATAGATCACTAATGAGCCTGGGCTGCTGGGCTTGCCTTGCTAAAACAAGAGGACGTGCATGGCTTCCTTTCTGTACTCTACAATGTGGGTATCCGGCAGGTAGTTTTGGAATGAGTGAGTGAATGAATGAGTGGCGTTTAGTGGTTATATTCTAGTAACTTTCATAGGACAAAATTTGGTTTTCTGATTATCCAGTGCCGAGCCCTCTCTAAAAGACTAGCCTTGGCGGAGAAGTCAAAGGAGACACTGACAGAGGAGACGAAGCTGGCCAGTCAGAACATCAGCAGGCTTCAGGTGAGCTCCTAAATGTTACATCAGCACGTGATGTCTTCTCACTGGTTGTTCCTGGGCAGCAAGATCAGCCTTCCTTTGAGAAGCAGTGCCAGCTACCCAACCTCTAAACATACTTTCCCAATACTTCATTTCTTTAAAGAAAAATTTTAATGATTTTGGGGGCTTGAGAGATGGCTCAGTGATTAAGAACACTGGTTGTTCTTGCAGAGGACCCAGGTTCAAATCCCACACCCACATGGCAGCTAACAACTGTCTGTAACTCCAGTTCCAGGAGATCCAACACCCTCTTCTCACCTATGCGGGCATTGTACAACATGGGTGCACTTACATACGTGCAGGCAAAACACTTATACACATAAAATAAACTTAATAAATAAAATATTTTTTAAAATTTTAGTGATTTTTAAAAAATTACTTATGTATATGGGGAGGGGTGTGCATGTGGGTCCCTGTGGAAGCCAGAGGCATTGGTTCCCCTTGAAGTTGGAGTTACAGGTGGTTGTGAGCCACTAGATGTGAGTACTAGGAACTGAATTTGGGTCCTCTGGAAACCATGTGGTTCCACTGAACCATCTCTCTAGCCCCAATCACTGTATTTCTAACTCATTTTAGAGATTACTTATACCAGGCAAAGAGTGGCTGTCTTGTTTGTTTCTCTGACTTGAACTTAATATTAAATTCTTTCATAGGCAGCATTTACTTACTTATGCTTAACCATAATCCTCCTTTCCCCTCTTCCTTGTAAATACTGTAGGCTTGTTCTCTACACATTATTCTGCCCTCTTTCTCCTCTCAGAAAACTGACCTGAACCTAACAGTCGGACAGCACAATGTTTCTCGTTCCTCACTGCTGAGTTTTAAAGCCTTACTTTGGCCAGGCCTGTTGGTGTACACACCTTAGTCCCAGTATTCCAGAGACACAGGCAGGTTGATTTCTGAGTTTGAGGTCAGCCTGGTCTACATAGGGAATATGTAGACTAGCCAAGGTGACATAGTGAATCCCTACCTCAATAATAAATAAATTCATATGTAAATAAATGAATTTCCGATTTAAACCTTGCTTTTTCAGGAAGGTCCTGTTGCTGTAAACACAAGGCCGGGCACAAGAAAACCCAGGAACACAGCACTGCTTGGCTCGTCCTCATTTCAGATTACTTTCTCAGATGAGTTAGGAGTCTGGGAGGAGATCCAAGAGGCTGAAGGCATCATGGGAGGTGGGAGCAAAGAAGGGTGCCCCTGCCAAGAAGGAGCAGATATGTGGAGATCTGTGCAAGGCTTTGGAGAACCTGAGTGATTTGGAAGTGTCCTTTTTTCCCCTAGGCTTCTGACAGTTCTATACCCAGCCTAGAAGGGGACTCATATTTTGTGTGTGCAGGTGTGTACATGTGAACATGCACATGGAGGCCTCAGGATAGTCTCTGGTGTTGTTCATCAGGAGCTATCAGGGTCTCTGTGGTCTGAAACGTCCCACGTAGGCTGGCTAGCTGGCCATGAGCCCCAGGAATCTGTCTCCACCTTTTCCCCTTCCCCGGAGCTGGGGTTACTAGTGCGTGCCACCATGTCCAATTTTTTTTTTGACAGGGTCTCCCTAGTCCCAACTGGCCTGGAACTTACTATGTAGACCAGGCTGGCCTCCATCACACTGAGATCCACTTGCCTCTGCCTCCCAAGAGCTAAGATTAAAGGCGTGCACCCTCACGCCAGCATCCAACTTTTTTTTTTTAATGCAAGTTCTAGGACTCAAACTCAGGTCTTCATGCACGTGAGGCAAGCACTTTACTGACTGACTGAGTATAGTTCTCTTGCCCAACAGCCCAATCCTTAAATTTTTGCAGATAAATTATGAACAGAATTTTAAGACTGAACGTTTTTCCCATTTCTTTTAACTTTGTTCTCTTGTTAGACTGATGCCTTAACCTTTGTGTTGACTGATCAATTAATATGTTTGGTGGACTGCTTTCCCAGGTGTTTGTAATGAATGAAGCTTCAGTGGTGTGTCTAGGAGTCTTTGATATCCATTCTCCTTTTCGCTTGCTCTTTAGGATGAGCTGACAACCACCAAGAGGAGCTATGAGGATCAGTTAAGTATGATGAGTGACCATCTGTGCAGCATGAACGAGACACTGTCCAAACAGAGGGAAGAGATTGACACGCTCAAGATGTCCAGTAAGGTATGTGAGGTGAGGTGAGGTGAGTGGGCAGAGTGAGGTGGGTGGAGTGAGGTGAGTGAGGTGAGATGGTACTGCTTATTGTACTTTTTAATGTAGTTGTTAGAAGATATTTCACTGTGATACATTTCACAAGGTCATAGGAGTTGAAGTACCATGAATCATCTTCCTTAGCATCATTTGTCCTCTCCAAAAAGAAGACTAAATTTCTTTGGCTGAGTGTAAGCTGTGGTCTCATCTCTGGGGCCTTGATATACTGTGCCTGCTGCTTTGGGGCATTTTTGCTGTTTTATAAGAAAGAGAGGGACTAACAGGGCTTTAGGAAGGTGAATACTCTGTTTATATGAAATCCTAAATGGTATTGAGGTAACCTTTAGCAAATTTTTTATTCAGTAAAATCACTTTACTTGAATTAAGTCAGAAATAAAAGCACCACACAGCTGGTTTCAGGAGGCCGCTCAAACGTTTGCTGGTTCTGAACTGCATTCAGTGACTGTCTATACAGTTCAGATGGTCATTCTGAATCCTCAGAACTTTGCCTAGGATTTTACACTTTCACTATCAATTACATTTCTATTTATTTATCCATGACAAAAAAAGAGAAAGCTATGAGGGGTAGAAACAAAAAAATAGCTTTGTATCTTCTTCTGTAACTCACGGCCTGTTGCCTGCAGTCCATCCTTCCTCATCACCCAATATTACCCTCTCTTGGTTTCCTTTCTAAATGTCAGACTGTACCCACACTTACACCTGTTTACTTACATGCATGTATATGGTAAGGCTAGACTCCACATATGAGGGAGAACATATGTTTTCTTTTTCTTTCTGAGTGTGGGGCACCTCACTTAATGTTTTCCTTTCCAAGTCTATTTTCCTCCAAGTTTCATGATTTCATTTTTCTTTACGGTTGAATAAAATTCCATTTTGAATATGTACCACATTTTCATTACCTATTTATTTGTGATGGACATCTGGGTTACTTCTCTTTCCTTGCTATTGTCAGTAGAGCAGCAGTAAACACGGATGTGCAGGTATCTCTGTGGTATGACACAGTGTTCTTTGGTTGTGTGCTGAGGAGTGGACTAGAACCCTTAGCAAATTATATTCACAACTATACATATAACTTGGGAATGCTTGGGAATGTCTTATCCTTTTAACTTGAGCTATTCCTTTTGATTTTGTTCCTGGTTAAAGCCTTTTTTTGTCCAGGCCAGTCAGTAGATACTGGGTAATGTGTCTGAACTGGACTGTATATCCATATGCGATGTGTCTCATATATA